AGAGTGATTTATTTAAAAAAATTTACTTCTAGAGTAATTTTCTTAAAGAATTTCATTTCTAGAGTGATTCTCTTGAAGGACTTCATTTCCAGAATAATTTTTATAAAGGACTTCATTTCAAAATGATTTTTTTGAAGGATTTCATTTTTGAAACAATTTCTTTGAAGAATTTTGTTTCTAGAGATTTTCTTAAAAAACGTGACTGATACTATTTTTTTATTCTAGTAAAAAATATTTAATTATTTAATATTGTGATACTAAATTTATATTGATAAATGAATTTATCTTTATTTTTAATTTGCAAAAAGAATAATTATAAAAAGTTAAAATATTCTTAAAAAAAAATAAAAGTAGATATAAAACTTATAAAATTATTTTTTCTGATGACTATTTATTATTAATAACCATGAATTAAATTTCTTGATAACTGAATAGAGCATTATTAAGGATTATGATCATTAATGAATCCATCTGTCACAATATCACAGCCTCTAATTGTCATGAACTCTCTACTAATAGTAATCCAGAAATACTTGACTATTTCTATGAATAAGTTGCAAAATTTAGTTTTGATATATTATTATAATTGGAGAGGTATTATATGGGTTTCTCTTTCTAGATTGCTATGGACAAGTTTTTCAATAGAAAGAAATAAATCAGGTATTATGATCATTAAGGAATTTATTAAAGGGGTTAAGTCAAGATTGAAATCTAATAAATGGAAAAGATCAGGTAGTATGAACTGTAAAAGATAATGGTGTCATGTATAAAATACTTTATGGTATATCTAAGTACATTATTATGATGGAAGTGAAGAGATGTTATTTATTATTAACTTCTTTTCAGATTCTTTAAAGATTGTTAAATAATCAAGAGATAATGTTATTGAATTTAAAGCTGTTGAAAAAGATATGTTGCTTAATAAAATAATTCAAATTAGCTTACTCTATTTAATCTAAAACAAAAATAAAATCTTGGCTATTTTGCTTTGATATTGCTAAATATTAAGCATCCAAAAAAATAAAACAAAATAAATTTCAAATTGTCAAAAAAAGGTTGCAGGTTAAGTCATAATATATATATATTTTTTTTTTGTAAAATTGAAACAATTTTAAAAAACTTTATTAGATAAAAAAAAAAAAAAAAAAAAAAAAAAAAAATCTGAAAAAAATGATGAAATTCAAATTGTCAATCCAATTCGATTCTACAATGGAAAATCTCTCATTCTTATAATTAAATACAGTAGATCAAAAAAAATTGGTATTATTAAAAGCTATACGATGTGACTATAAAGGAGTATTTTGTAATAAGTTTATTAATAACTTCGACCTGTACTCGTAAGAGGATTGACTATATAGGAGAGAGTGACTATAAATCTACTGTATTACATTTAAAATGTGCACAAAATAAAGGATGCAAACCAAAGATATTTGTGCAATTATTATAAATAAAAAAGATGTAATTTGTTAATTGTAAAGTAAAAACAAATAAATAACTATAAATGAAATCATTCGATATTCTTAAGTGGGAATTTTGTACGTCGTGCCCCTTATAAGGGGGGCTTTCTCCGCTTTTCTAACGTTTGTATCGCGTAAATCCCCAACCCTAACTTACCGAATTATTTTTTTTTTCTTTGTTTGGATATACCAATATTTATCTAGAGTCAACAACACATTAGGATAATTTCAATGGCAAACATTAAATATTTACTTATTTTAACTGCAAATCAATAATAAGAGTGGGAAATTTCATACACGTGTCCATGAGAATAACTCAAGATAATTAATAGGATGACTAAACGATTATAATAATAAAATGAAAATCATTAATAATATTAAAATTTTTTTCAAAGAAATCTTTTATGTTATATATTCTAGAAAGTCAAATATTCATCTCACAGAAATTCTCTTGACTAAAACAGCGATTTTTCTTTCATTTAAATTTACATAACAAATATTACATACAGTTGTGAAACTGTAATTTCAGGTACGTAATGTGTTTTTTCTTTTATTTCTTTGTTCTAAATTCATTAATTCCATGACCATTTACTTTTGAGTTTAAATAAAAAAATGATTAGAATTAAAGTACGGATGATGGAATAAAATAAAATGTTTGTAACACAAGTGTACAAAACTCATAATATAAAATACAAATATCTTCAAAGAAAGAAAAAGATAAATAGGATCTTCGTGCATCGTTACATGATAAATTTTTTCTCCTTTTTTTTTTTTTATCAATTGATAGGTTTTCTTTGAGAATTCTCAGATAGAATACTCTGTCGTAGGAAAATTTTCCAAATAGTAAAATATTATTCGAAATGTTAAAGTTAAAATGAAAAAAAAATTGCCATTTATAATTGATGCTACGCGTTTTGTTTTTCAAAATCTGCAAAGTTCATTCATGAGGTATTAGATAATTAATTTAGCACGACATGTTAAGACCCATATTTATTGGTTTCGTGCAAACAATGATATTTAAGCATGGATTTATGGATTCTTCTAGCAACCCGGGATCGGATATTTTTAATTTCAGATTAAAAGATCAGCGAACATGTACATCAATAAAAAATTTTTATTTAGTTTGTTCATTTTCTGATGAATTATTTCTTATAAAGTTTAGAGGTCTCCTCCTTTTTTTTTTTTTTATAATAAAGATCTTAAAATATTATCTATGGTTAACTATTCTATGAATAAATTTTGGTTTTTTTTTTGTCTTTGAAATTTTAAAATTTTTTTTTTGCTTTTTCATTTTCTTAAAAAAAATATGAAAGTGATAAAAAATGTACAAAGAAAGTATTTTGAAAGGGTTAAATGTAAAGATGCTATGAAAAAAAAATATATATACGTGAAGAATTTTATAACAAACTTATTAATACAAGATTTAAAATGATAATGAATTAAAGAGTGGTTTCATCTTATTTGGTTCTTTTAATGGAAGATCTGGTTGAAATTTAGGCTCCATGAAATCAGGTAGAACAGGTTGAAGAATCGGCGATAATGACACGGTAGGGGGGATGACCGCATTTCTTTTTGAACCAGCTCGTATTTTGGCTTTCTTTGCTCGTAAAAGGTGTTTCTTTCTAGAATACCAGAAATTCTTAAGTTTATTTCGTGATCTTAATATTCCATATCTTAAATGGATTTCGTGTACCAAACATTTCCAACGGATGGTGCCGCTCGATGTTTGATTTGTCTCAACCCAATGAGTAACAAATTCTTTTTCATAATCGCTTAAAGGACCTTGACAAACTGAAAAAAATGAAAAATGAAAAATTAAAAGATAAACTAAATAAATAAATAAAAAAAAAAAGGAAAGAGTTTCACGTACTGCGCGAATCAAGATTATTACGATAGCTAAATGAAAATAAAAAATTTAAAATTTTTAGCAAATTTATTAAAGAACGCGTAATTTTATTATTGACTCACCGATGACAAATTTGTCTAGCTTTATATTGAGGAAGAACCTCTGCTATTCTCACAAAAGGACTGCGAGTATTTCCACCTTTTTCAAGCTCGCGCATGCAATCGAGAATGATATCATCACTCTAATAACAGAGATCAATAAATCAGTAAAGCAAACTTGTATATACGCATTCTTTTTTAATATTTGTTTACATACTAATTCATCGAATAAAAGTTCTTTCATTTTTAAGGAAAGGTATTAGTTGATAATTATAAATTAAAAAAATATCAATGATGAGGATTTGACGCCAAAAAAAAAAAAAAATTATTTTGTAATAAAATTTGTATCTTTCGCGAATAAAGCCTCTTTTTATAGAACTTAATAAATGGCATGACACATTTAAATTTATAAATTTGGAAATTTTATGCGCCAATTCATTCTAAAATTCTTACAATATGTTCAATGTGAATATGGGTAACACGGTTTTTTGACAATGAGTAGGTATATATTTTTCCTAAATCAGGTTGCAATGTTTAAAGAAATTGGGCTTGTGATTCATTCATAAATATCTTAATAGAAATCTAAATCCTAAAAGACTTCCTGTCACAATAAGAGCAAGTTACATGATTACACATGGCACAATTCTTGATAGAAAGGGATGAATTTTAATAAAGGGTTAAAGAAAGGGATTTAAAGGAATAGGGGTGGATTTAATATTCAGTTTATAAAATTTTGGTGCTCCAACCTGTGTTATGTTGTTAAAGGAAACATAAAAGCTCGAAAAACTTGGCGCTTAAAATAAAATATATGTGTATCACCACGCTTATTAACAAGTACATATCGAAAAAATCATTTCTTTGTTTTCTTCAATAATAAGATTATTCCTGATTAATCAGGTTTTGCTCTTACATAATAAATGTCAAGATCTTTTCTTCCAATTCACCAAAATCACCATTTTTTATGAAATCAATAGATTATCCGCGTTTACTGCGACGTAATTAATTTTGGTGCGCTTGTTCCAATATGGTAATATTTTAACGATTTTGCATCACGTAATACTAAAATTTTTAAATTCTGTCATCGCGCCAGCCCATCGCTTTATTATCATCCTATGACGTATAAAGAAAATTGCTCAATCACAACGTCGACATTAAAAAATGTTATACATATTTTTATTTTTATTTTATTTTTTTTTGTTATTATCAACATTTTAAGACGTATTACAAAAAATTTTTCCGCCTTTAGCATGTAACATCAAGAAATCAATCACTTACAAAGTTTTCTTAAAACGTAAAACTTTTTATTTTTTGAGTACAAGGGGAATGTTTTGTTTAGTATAACATTCGTCTTTGTCTAGGATGTCTCATTTGACAATAATTTTCTTTGTGATGATCATTTAGTAATTGATTATTAATGAATCTTTAGCGAATAATCATGTAAATTCGACGAGAGCTATTAGGAAGATATAATTTTAAAATATTTTCGCAAAATAATATTTATCATGAAATAAAGTTTGGTATATTCATTGATGAAAGATAATCATTTATTCAAATATTTCCGTCATTTTGTTCTAAAAAAGTAAATTCTTCCTTGCCTGATTATTTTCGTTTATTCTTTTTCTGAATTGAGGAACATAGTAAATTTTAGAAATTGAAAAAAAAAAATATATTATCATCATTGATGGAATTACCTTTTTATTCTTTACATCAATCCTAGCTTTAATATTCTCTGTTCGGGTTTTTTGTCTTTCAGCCATGGATTTTTCAACAGATTCAATACGATCTTCCCTATACGGTTTATCCCATAGAAACATTTCAATTTAAAAGATTACAAGTATAAGCGGAAATAGAAATGTTGTGTAATCTTACCAAGCCTTTTCACTTTTCCTTTTTTTGATAATTTTCTTTTTAATAGTCTTTGCTAACAATTTAGGATCATCCTTAACCTTTTCTCCTTGTGCCTTCAGAAATGCTTTATCCCACGCTTCTTTTACTTGTAATTCTGCAGCCTTCATAAATTAAAGGCAACATAAAATGACAAGGTATTCACATCATTCAAAAGATGTATATTAGAGAGGGAAACATTCAATTACCTTCTCAGGATCCAATCTTTTTAATCTTCCTATTTTTACAATTTTGTCTTGTAACTATCATTAAAACCAATTAGTCGAATAATATTTTGTAACAAGATTTTTTAATTGTAAAGTTCAAAATTTTACCTTGACTTTGAGGTGGACATCATCTATTTTTTTCTTTTTCTTTTTTTCTTCCGCAAAATCAAACTTAGCAAATTTTAAGCCATTATCCTGCAAAGAATCTTCCTCAATATCATCATCACCAATTTTTCTTTTAACGCTTCCACTCTTTTTAATATCTACACCTTTCTTGATATCACCATTATTCTTAGCAACTCCTCCTTTATTGGTATCTTCATTTAAATTTAAATTCTTTTCTTCACTTTTTATTTGATTATCGCTATCCTTATTCATTTTTGATTGTTTTTGCTTTAATTTCTTTTCTTTTTTTTTGATTTCTATTAATTTTTTTCTTTTTTCTTTTTTAGAGGAATCCGTATTAGTATCTGCAAGTCGTTTTGAAAGAATAATTCTTGCAAGACGGTCAGGAACTGGTTGTATTTTTGATGAATTCTTTTTCCCTGATTCTGCAAATTAATTATTAGTCAAGTGATATAAGGCTAAAAGTAAGGACAATAATTTGTTATTACCAGTTATGATTTTATTCTTATCATCTTCATCACTTTCGGCACCGTCCTCTAAATCTGATTGAGACTCCTTGTCACTTTCCTCCTCTTCTTCATCATCGATGTCTTTCTCTATTTGTTCTTCGTCACTGTCTTTTTTTTCAATTTTGACATCAACGTCGTATTCAATCTCATCATCATCATCATCCTCATCCTCATCCTCATCATCTTCTTCTTTATTGACCTCATCATCTTCCTGTTCTTTTTCTTTTTGTTTTTCTTGTTGAATCTTGTGCAACTTTTCTATTTGAAGCTCTTGCACAGTCTTTAAATTCTTTGGATCAAGCTAATTAAAAGAAAATATTAATAATCAAATCATCAATTAAATTATTTCAACGAACTCATTTTAGTCAACCTTTTGTCTTTTTGCTTGTTTCTTTTGTTCTTTAAGGACTTTCTTTGGAATTCTTTTCTTTTTATTGGGTTGAAATTTTTCTTCGTCGTCTGAAGCATTAGGCTAGAGACAAAAATTACATTAACCATTATCAATTACAAATGTTTCTTCAAAAGATATGATCGCACTTACATCATTCTTGAAATAATGTTTCGGAGGAATTAAACACATTAGCGAGTCAATGAACTCACTATGTTCCTTTAACCTACCCTAGACAGGGTTGAAATAGATAAATCATCAATTAAATTGGATGATTAATAAATTAAAAGCAAAAAAGAAAGGCATATTTAATATCCACCTCTAATCCATCAAGTGACCACATTTTCTAAGGTGGGAGAAAGAAAAGTTTTTTTATTTAGTTGATCAAAATGATCAAAACGAATAAATACGGTATCCAATCAAAAATCAACATTAAAAATTGTGGAAAGGATCAGCCAATTAAAATCGAACAGATGGATTTTTTTTTTAATATCTAGAAAAAACCAGAATTATCAAACAAAGCCTTTTAAATTATTTTTTTTTTTTTTTTTTAATATTTGACATCCTTCTAATACATTAAAATATTTACCTTTCAAGTTGTTTATTAAAAAATAAGAAATTATTAAAGTACTTTGGAAAAAGTTAAATTAAAAATAGTAATGTATATATAATTATATAATTAAAACTGGCTTCCTTACATAAGTAGGGTGTAGCTATAAAAAAGGATATTCAAATTAATTTTAACGAACTAACTTGTTATAAAAGTCTTTTTCATTTTTTTTATAAAATAAAATGATAGACGTGATAGATAATAAAAGATAACGAAGCCTCACATGCTGTTCTTGTGCTACCGTGGTATTGGTTATTGACCCCATTGGATATATATATCAATTGCATTTCTCTTTTTTTTTTTTTTTTTTTTTTCTGGTAGAGAAAAAACTTTTTTTTTTTAACAAATTCACAAAAGCTGTTTCAAATGTCTGAATTGAACAAGTCTTTGAATAATGAATATTCTTCAAATTATATTGGAGACAAAGTTAGAATCTTCATTCGTTCTCCAACAACACCTTTACCTGACGGTTATTTTATATTAACAAATCCTAACTCTTCAGTTCTTTCTTTGAAACAAATAATCTTTAAAACTCACCCTGCAAAACCTGCGATTAGAGATCAAAAATTAATTTATAGAGGAAGAGTATTGGGTGATAATGACCTTATTGAGAATGTCTTGAAAGACGGACTTGAAACAGACCAAACTTTTCATTTGGTTGTTAAACCATCTTTTCAGGCTATCGCAGAAACTACTGGTATACCTATATCCCCTCCTAACTCTCATCCGACTTCTCAAAATCACACTTCGACTTCTACCCACTTTTCTCAAATAACCAATTCAGTACAACAACAGAGCATTCCTAACACTATCCAAAATCCTGGTTATATTTATATGCCTCAAAATCATGCTCAATACAATCATTCCGTTACTCCCTTAGATCCTTCACAGAATCAATCACTGCAACCATCACAACAGCCATTTTCAATTCCAATGGGATATTATTATGTCATGATTAAGTAAGTGTAGTGTATTTTCATATTTTGGTTTTCGAAATATTTCATTCTAATTATAAAAAATAAATAATTTACCCTTTTTTTTTTAAGTGGATTACCATATCTTGTGCCAATTCAATATTCTCTCCCATATACATATTCTTATCAAATTATACAGACACAACCAATAGTTCAACCGCAACCAAATGTTGCCCCAGTAGCAGAACATCATCATGATAATGCCGCAAGAAATCAAAGAAGAGCAAATACGTTGTTGCTGGTCGTTAAACTTGGTTTTCTTGTGTACATTTTTTCACAAAACGCTAGTGCGGAACGAATGATATTATTGTACATTTCTGCTTTGGTATATTTCCTGTAAGTGATCACTTTTTTTTCTCATAATTGAGAGTTTTCATCTAAATATTGTAAAATCTAATACAATATGGTATTTTTAAAAAAAAATATATGTATTTTTATTTATTAGGTACCAAACGGGGCGTCTACGAATAGTGCGGAGACGTAGAAGAGTTTTGGTCCCAGTTCCAAATGAATTTTTTGGTAGGGTAGATTAACAATCTTAAGGCTCATATTTATAGTAGATAGTTCAATTTCAATAAAAATATATCATATTAACGTTCTTTTCTTTATAATGATAAGTTCAACAATTACCACAAGTTGCAGCAGCAGCATTCCGAAATCAAGCAGGAATTCAACCAAGGCCAGATGGTAATCAAAATCCTTCCAACCAAAGCAATAATAATTCTCCTACTTCATCATCATCATCTTCTTCTTCTTCTTCTTCTTCTTCTTCGTCATCGTCATCTTCAACCGCTTCGTTGAATAATAATAATAACAATAATAACAATACTTCTACAGCCAATAATAATTCACCACCTCATTCATCGACGTCCGAACAACAGAATAATAATCATCATGGGGATGGGGCAAATAATATTGCTGTGCCACCACAAGATAACGGTCGATCAGTTACTTTGCAGGATATTGAACACGCTTTATGGACCTTTGTTGCTTCTTTAATACCCACAAACACTCCAGACGTTGCACAACAGGACGACGTCGTTGGAATGTAACATATGAAGAATATAATTGACAAACAATAAATTATTCGGTTGGTTAAAATCATAATTAATTAGAGATTATAGAACTTATGTTTACAAGAGTTTCTATTCTTTATTTGCAAGGAATTTACTTATAATTATACATTAGTTGATTTAAAATAATAAAAAGTCTTTATAGATGCAATAATTTATATTAAATATTATAATCTATTCAATTATGGTAGTAGTATATTAATAATCATTTATTGCCATTATCTTGGTTGATTCTTGGTTGATGATTTGAAAGAAAAAAAAACATTGAGAAAGAAATAGTTAGTTATTATCATTCAAATGTAGAATACATCAAAAACAAAAATAAAATTTTGATACTTGTTATTTCTTTCAATGAAAGGATTCATGAAAGTGGTATTTCGAGTGATTGGACTTTTCAATTGACCGCTAGTATCTTCAGAGTGAAAGAAAAAAAGATTTCAATAATTCTTACAAAAAAATTTGCTCCTTTTCAAATGAGTACCATCGATAAAAAAAGCCAGTTGCTTCTCGAATGTTTGATTTGTTTTTTCTCGAGCAACTTCAATATTCGAAAGTTCATCAACAATCAAATCGTGCATTTGCTAGAATATAAAAGAGCACAAATTTTTTGCAGGTTCAACATACTTTTTGAAATTTGAATTTTAAATTATAATCATTACTAACTAAATATTTCGACTCTTCAGATTTCAATTTCTTTATAATTGCAAGTTTTTCTTCTTCGAATTCCTCAAATTTACGCTTATAATCATTAATTTTATCCTCACTAAAAAAGTACATTAATGATTTGTAATTAATAATCACATGAAATAGGAATTCTTGGTAGCTTACATTTCTTTCTTTTGACGTAAAATCAGTTCATTGGCTAATTGTGACACGTGTTGAATGGTTTTGTCACATTCAGCTGATAAATGTTTTTGTTTATTTATGGTCTTTTTTTCCATACGTTCTAGGTGTCAAAATAATTTAACCCCTTTTAAACAATTTAGATGAATATCTTTTTTAAAAGAATATGATAATATGACTTACCGTGAAAAGCTTTGAAGATTTTAAGCAAATCTTCCCTATATAAATGAATAAGATTGTTTAATTAAATAGAAAAAGAAAGGGATGAATTTTGTATTCTCACTTACCCATCATTATCATTGGAATCATCACCATCGCTTGTAAGTTTTTTAGGCGCTCTTTGCGTATTTTTTCGACCCGGATACCTTTTTGACATTTTCAACTAATCTTTAAAAATGGAACGGAAAAAAAAAAAAAGTGGAACGGGTTAAAAATTGTGAAAGATATCATACTTTATATTTTTTTTTTTTATACACGTTTTATTATATACTTTTGAAAAGTTTGTAAGCAAAATTAAAAAAAAGCGCGTATGATCTACAATATATTTGGGAAGATTGCTAGGAAAATCAGGCTTGACTATAATTAAGACCTTATTACATTTTAATCTAATAATATCAATAAATTGCAAAATTTTGTTAAAAAAATTCCCCAAGCCTGATTTACCTGGCAATCTTCCCATTTTGTCATGCGCCGAAAATAGTTCAACAATTTCCTCAAACTAGGCAGATAAAAGTCCATTATTTTGATAAACAAATCAATTAAAATCAATTAATTCACTTTTTAATCATCATCCATATTTCAATTGAACGAACTGCATTCATTTAGGAACTCATACAATGATTATTGAAAAGACTTTTAAACCATAAAGAAGTGTTGGAATTTGGTCGCGGCCAAGATTTTCTTAGCCATTTTGGCCGGCCAAATTGGCTAAACGGCCAATGGGCCCTGCCATAAAGTATGAATTAATAAGAATTAATAAAACCAATTCCTAATCTAACCCTAATTACACATGAGACGTGATATATAATGGTGACGAATAGAAAATTTTCATATACAAATTTCGACACTATGTGATAAATAGGGTAATATTACTATTATTATTAATATGGGGAGCGTTCTATTGATGACGAATTGAATTGAATGAATAAATAAAGCAAGCACGAGATAAGTTAAATTTATTAAATTTATTGAATGATGTTCTGATCTTTCTTATTATGATTGAAAATAAAATGTCTTTTCGGATATTGATTAATTAATATTACGATATTAGAATTAAATGTCAGTAATTTACTATCAAAAGTTCAGATATTGCTATGACACTAATTTCGCATTATGTAATACCAATTATAAGAAAAGAAGACGATTTGGTAAGTATATATATTATAACTGAAAAGGTAAATTATTTGAATTAGAACACTTAATTCCGTATTTCATACAATAAAGGATTAGTCTTCAATGAGAAGGAATTTTGAATTATCTGACAAAAAAGAATATTATTTCAACCTATAAATGAAAATAATATGATAATTAGTTAAACTTTGAAATTACCATGTAGTTATAATTCAATTAAATTGTTGTCAGGTCTTCAATTTTAGAAATTAATTATTTTTAAAAACTCCCATAAAATGTTTGTGCACTATTTATTAAATAACGACTAATTACAGTTTAAAAAATCGCTCTAATTAAATTACTATAAGTTTTAGTTAAAAACAATGTAGTACATAAAAGATTTTTCGAAAGTTATATTATTTATTAAACCACCAAAATTATTAATTCAAATCTTATTAAATAAGCTTAATAAGCTTAATATCTTTATAAAAATCGGAGTATTTAGTACAATCTATAATATATAAATATATATATATATTTTTAATCCAATTGTTCCTGTTCTAACTCGCTAGTTGATACTGTAATTACATTCTTTGCTGATTGACCAACATTCTGATCAGGGACAAAGAAATCGGATAATTTTAAAGGTGGAATGTCCATTTTCTGTATAAATTGATGAAAATATTTAATAATAAATTAAGAGAATTGTTAAAAAGTGTGATGATACTATACCTCGGGATCAATATTTGTCAAATCGCCTTCTGGCGTGGAATGTTCACGCATATATTTTCGTATCGGTCTCATTGCTGCATTTCGACATGCTTCCTTTAAATCACTGCCTTCAAATAATAAATAAAAACAAAATAAATCGACATGATTTAAAAATTTTTAAATAGTATAGGTTATAAAGTTACCTGAGAAATTGATAGTTTTCGTGACTAATTCGTTATAGTTGAAATTCTCTTCCAAATTTTGATCTTTAAGCATCTATTAATTACAATGAATAAGTTTTAATAACATATAAATTTTCAGTTTAAGAAAAGGTGTCATTCTTACAATCTCTAAAATGTTTTTCCTCTGTTCTTCATTAGGTAAACTAATTGCGAATCGTTTTGGCATACGACGAAGGATAGCATAATCTGTAATTCACGTCAAAGATATCAGCAAATTTGAAGGTAATTTTTATGTTTTAAACAAAAAATTTATTGTACGAATTTAAACGAATCACGTACCGATATCATTTGGTCTATTTGTAGCACCAAGGACCTAAATAACCATGATAAATGATAAATAATAAATTCTTTTTTTTTATAAAAAAAAAAAAAACTTATAGAACTAAATTATAAATTCCTTACAATGATGCGTGTATTATCATCTGTAGTCAAACCATCCCATAAACTGTTTAAATGAAGAAAGAATGTTTTAGCAAATAAATAGATAATTAAATTTTTAATATAAAAAGATTCGTCACCTCATAAACTCGGCTTTCATCATTCCAGTAACCTCATGATCATTGCTTCGTCTTTCTCTTAAAAATGCATCAATTTCATCGATAAAAATAATACAAGGCTGTAATTTTTTTGCAACCGAAAAAACAGCAGAAACAAGTTTATTTGATTCACCAAACCATTTATCTGTTAACGTTGATACATGAAGATTTATAAACGTGGCTCCGGATTCACGTGCAAGAGCCTTTGCAAGCATGGTTTTTCCGCATCCAGGTGGTCCATGGAGTAAAACTCCTTTAGGAACACCCAATAATCCAGAAGTTGAAGTGAACAGTTTTGGGTAAGTTAGAGGATATATAACCGATTCTCGAAGAGATTGAATGATTTGATCAAGACCTATACTCAAATCAGATTAAAACATGATCGATCACGTAAAATAAATTGATAATTTCAACATTTTTTTCACCTCCAATTTCTGAAATAATCCATCAATTGATTTTTTTTTTTTAAAAAAAAAGAAAATATTAATAAAAAAATCTTTTTTAATTACATTAATATAAAACACGATAAAAAAGATAGTTACGCTTGAAACTAATAGAAATCTCATCCGGAAAAATTACTTCAGACAAGATTACTTCTTCGTATTCATTTAATTTCGTATTTTTCATCTGTAAACGATAAATCAAAAAGTCAATGGATAAATAACCATAATAATACAATATATAATAATAACTTACCCCTAATTTCCCTAACACTTGTTCACTTTTTGCTTTGGCTTCTTTCTTTTTATCTTTCATAGGATCTAAACTACTAAGCACGTACTTTACAGCATAATAAAGTGCCACCTGAGATAATGCGAAAACCATAACTAAGAATATAAAAGAATAATTATTGAAGCTCGAGATCTAAATTAAAGCATTCGGTAGTAATTTACCATCAAGAACATATTTTTTCGCGTTTGGTGAAGGCATTTCGAAAATAATTGACCTTTACTAATGATCAACTAAATGAAATATGGTTCGATTATTATAAAACAGGAAAAGAAAGAAAAAAAAAATTATCAACAGGTTTTCCAAAAAGGCATGTGAGTGACCCAGGTTTTCGGTTGATTTATGCATGATCCCATCGTAGATCAATTTAAAAAAAATTTTATTTTTTTTTATTCTCGACTCATTAAACATGGGTAAAGTTACAAACGAAAATAATGTTAAGCCCAATCCTACTATTACTTTTGAAGCCGAAACATTTAGAAGGATACAACCTGAGGAATACTTACGTAAATTCGTTCAACAGCATGTTAGACCTGATGGTCGATCTTACAATCACTTTCGCAAAACAACTGTGAATTTAAGTATGTATATTTTTATTGTTCAAAATTCTAAAGTGATATAAGCGAATTAAAGCGTGGTTTCTCTCTCTTTAGGTTGTATAACAACGGCTGATGGTTCTTCCATGGTGCGAATAGGAAATACGACCATAGTTTGTGGCATTAAAGCCGAAGTATCAGAACCAAAACTAAATTTTCCCAAAGAAGGTTATTTAGGTAAAAAAAAGTTTTTCCTTTCGCATTTCTTTTTAAAATTATCAAAATTATCATTATTTACGCGTTAAATATTTATATAGTTCCGAATATCGATTTGTCACCAATTTGTTCCCCGAGGTTTAAACCTGGGCCTCCAAGTGAACAAGCACAGATCATAAGTGAAAATTTAAACAAATTATTAAAAAAGTACGTACAATAATGATTTTAGATTCCTTTAACACTCGCAAATTATAATAATATTTTATTCTTTTTTTTTTTTAAGTCCAAAGGTAATTGATTTAGAAACATTATGTATTGAAGAGGGAAAAGCTGCCTGGGTTTTATTTGCAGATATTGTTTGTGTAAATTATGATGGAAATATATTTGATGCTTGTGTAATGGCATTAATATCTGCTTTAGCGGATGGTAAGTGTATTCAAAGAAATCCAATTTACTAAATTAAAATATTAACCACATAAAGTCTTGTAGTGAAACTTCCTAAAGCAGTTTATGAGGATGGTTTAGTAAAAGCTACTGAAGAAAAGATATTTGCTCTTAGTTTTATACGGATACCTTATTCAATATCTTTTGCGATGTTTGACGGGTAAGTGAACTAAAACTATTTTTTTACTTAAATTTTTTTATTTGAAAAATCTTTTCATATATAGGAAACATTTGTTGGCTGATCCAAATGAAATGGAAGAATCAATCATCAAAAGTGCAATCACAATAGCTATTGACGAAGCTGGACAACTATGTAATATATGGAAAGTTGGAACTTCGTGCACATCAGAACAATTGAGATTTTGCATATCCAAAGCACGTGAAAGATATGTAGATATAACTTCGATCATTGAGAAAGCAAAACAAGCAACTTGAGAAATCTTCTTTGTTGGAGACACTTAACAAAATTTAATTTTGCCATGGCTTCGGAGTTATTTTAGCTTTTAGTGAAACCAATTATTAGCTCTTTATATTGCTATCGTTTATTCTGTTTTTTGAACTTGGGATATGAGAAACGCAAGTTCAAAGGCCACATTTTTAATTCTATCCGATTGATCAATTTCATCTCCAAAATGCCCTCCTTCCATATCAATTTTTAAAATCAATAAATTGCCATTATGATCTGTTGATTGCCTTGTTCTCATTCTAGCTACCCATTTTAATGGATGCCAATAACTAACTCTTTGATCCTTCATAGCTGCTGTAACCAATATTGAACGAGTTTGTTGTGATCGTAAAGTTGAAATATTATCATATGGCGCGTAACTAGCCAGATATTCATAGGTTTTTTTATCTTCCAGAGGATTTCCCCATTCGTTATACTCAATCCGAGTGAGTGGCAAATCAGGATTTAACATACTTGATAACGGATCCAAAAAAGGAACTCTCAAGATAATTGCACGGAATAGATCTAGAAAACCGCGTTAAAGGATATTAGACAATTGTTTAAGTAATTGTAGAATGGTTAAGAAAATACACTTACCTGGTCGCATATTAAAGGCAGCTCCTAGGAAGAAATAAATAAAAAAAATGATATATATATATATATATATAGTGAATTTGATGAGTTAAATTCACGAATATTTACCTAATAATAATCCACCAGCACTAGAACCCATTGATGCGATGAGAGATTGATTTGAATATCCAGCTTCAATAAGATATTCAATCACCGAAATCAAATCTGTAATCGAATTTTTTTTATTCATCAATCGTCCTTGATCGTACCACGTATGACCTAACTCCGAACCTCCCCTAAATGAGAAAAATATGATGTAAACAAAAAGCATGTGGATAAGAGTATTTGAAATTGCAATTGTTACCTGACGTGTGCAAGTGCAATAACCCAACCTCTTTCTAACAGTGAGAAATGTTCTAGTTGAAAATCAGGCACAGTGGAAACTCCATAAGCTCCATAAGATCTAATTAACACCGGATTTCTATTGGCACCAAATAGATTTTTATTATTTATACATTCGAAAATTATTAAGTCAAGAAATTATTTATAATGAATAAATGTAATACTTGTTATCCAGAACCAAAGATCTCTTGTGTAATAAAGTAATTGGTATTTTTGAACCATCCTTTGAGTTAACATATATGCGATGGCACGTGTATAAATTGTGATCAAAATCTGATTCAATTAGTATATTGCAGTAATTAGGAAAATGCGTAATATAATTAATATATTTACTATGAATAGGATTAGATCTTATTGAATGTAATTTCCTAGTTTCCATATTATACTCATAAATTGATTGGTGAGCGAATGGAGAATCACAAGTGAACCTTACAATATCCGTATCATAATTCTCAAATGGACAAAGATATCTAGTTAAATTCCTAAACAAATTTTTTAAAAGAGAAAATTAAAAATATAAACCTACAATATTGGTTTCCGGAGACACAACACAAAATTTTGTTGGTAATTCAATTTGATGCACATCATGTGAATCGAAATTGTAACAGAAAATTATTGGCAGTCCTTCTCTTTTTGCAAATATCACAGCAAATTTCTTTGGGAAAAAAAAAGATGCGTTAATTTATTTAAATAAAGAATAAAAGAATATTAATAAAAAAGAATAAGCGAATATGTTTACACGAAATATGTCAATATCTTCTATCAATTCGTTATTTTTGAAGGAGAATATAGTTTTCCAATTTCTTTTATTGCAATTATCGAGACTTGCACGGACCAACTTAAAATTTCGCGTATTAGCAGAATTTGTCAAAATATAAAGAAATCCCTTAAATAATTTCAAACGCATAAAATAAAATAAATTAGTCCTTCTGTTAATTACCTATACAAATAATTTTAACTCACATTATGATGATCAACGTAATATTCCAATCCAGATGAACGTGGTTCAATAAGTTTAAGTTCCGGAATTCCTTTAGAAAAGTCATGATAGGCGTCAAAAATCCGTACTTCAGAAGTAGAAAAACTATTTGAATTTATTGCGATAAAAGACTAACAACGCGTTAAGGATTTAGTAAAAATAAATAAATTAATTTAAAAAAAATGAATTGATTATGAATAACCTTATCCCTTGTAACTGTAATATCAACAAATGATGATTTATCATAATCTTCATATATAAGAATATCATGCTGCGGGGAACTTCCAATTTGATGTGCGTAAACCTATTATAAGATTGATATAAATTCTTCCCGTCACATTTTACGATAAAATTTGAGAAATTACCTTGTAAGGTCTAAGTTGTTCATCCGTTATAGTGTAATAAACCATTTTACTATTACTTCCCCATACGAAATTAAATATTCCTTCTAATTTCTCGTCATGTAATATTAAATTTTCATTTAAAATTTTAAAATGTAATACACCAATTTCTTCACCCTCTTGTTCTATTAAATAAGCAAGTATATTATGATCTGGTGATATTAATAATGATCGAATGCTTTTTTTTGTTCCTGCCAACCATTTCGAGTCCAACAGAACTTCCTAATGAATGAATTTAAATTTTAAATTCATTAGAAAAAAAAAAACTTTTTTAAGAATATGCATAGTAAGTAATTCCAGTACTTCTATCGGAGGAAATCCTTTTTTATTACGACAATATTTGAGTCCGTATTTAGTTGATATTGTATAATACTCATATCCATCCACCAAAGTCTTTATAGGTGCCATAATTCCTTGGGTGATCAATTTTCTTCTCAATTCCTATTTATAGACAGCACATTTTATTGTCCATTATAATGTTAAGAATATTAATTTATAATAGTAATTAAGTAAGTATTACATGAGATAAGCGTCGTTGTAATGAATTTGTGCGTTTCATTAGAGATTCTGTATATCTATTATAAATAAAATCTACTTATTTATTTTGTTATATATATAATGGAGCGAATATGTTACTTACTCATTCTCAGCTTTAATGTATTTTAAGACCTCCTAAACCATTTTAGAATACGTCAATTTACTTCGCGCCTTTTATATAGTTTTTATTATTTGTAAATATTATTATTACGTGATTTTCGGAATTCTGTAGCCATTGAAATTCATCGACGCGTTTTATTCCAAAATAAACCGAACTATTTGGCAATTGTTTTGGAATTGGTGGTTTACTATTCTTTCTAAAAAAAACCAACGAAATTTCAGGAAACGATTTATTGAAGATACTATTAATTCAGTAATATTATTAACCTTTGTATCAAATCCAAAAAGTTATCGAACTTGAATGATAAACTATGTAAATTTTGATTTTTACACTGTTATAATCAAATGTAAAGATTGAAATTAAAATCATTAAAATATATCAAAATGTTTGAAATTAAGCTTAAATATGTGAATGTGGCACCTTTCGTATTAATAGAAGCGTACTTTGGTTAATTTTTGTATGGTCGCGAGTGAATTTTCGCAGGAAATTCAAGGAAATGCTCATTATTTTTTTTTTTTTTAAAAAAAATTACCGATATAAATAGATGGTGATCATGTGATTTTGTGTTGCATCAAAAACGCGTATTTTATTATTTTATTGCACAAAGTCATTCAAGTTTTAACACGTGAATTTATATTATATCAACAACTATTGAAATTATGGTTACTTACTATTAAAGTATAACCGAAATATTTAAATTGAACGATGATCTTGTCGTGGCTTATGTAAAGTCGCAAAGTCGTTCACACCGTGAAAATATGAAAAAAATTGGGTTTCACTCCGTGTTTATAAAACGTCCGACGACATGCTGTTGTTGTATTCCACTTCGTGCGGGTGTAACTGTTTTATCCGTTTTATTATTTGTATGTATCTTCAAGTAAGAAAGCACTTTGGTTTTTGTCGAATTGGTCATTAACTATAATTTGTACGTGTTTCATGACTAGATACATGGGGCTTTGAACGCTTCTATATATTTTTCTGAAGTTGCCGGTAATATATAATCATTTGTTGTTTTTTTTAATTGCTTTCTAATTGACCAAATTTAACAATTTTTCGTATCGCTAATAATATTCTAACTTAGTTTATTCCCGAAATATCGCAAGAGGGTTAACAATTGTGTTAGGGCTGTTATATTCCTTAGTGATTCCTATATCAATATTCGGAATATACACAACACGTAAAGTAAATAAATTAATTTATCAAACCTTTTACATCATTCATATTCAAACTAAACATTGATTTATCATCGCCCCCTTGAATAGAGAAATGAAATTAATCCAAGATCAATGGATTTATTTTCGAAAATATTTTGGATGTCGTTATTACTATTGTTGATATTACATTCGATTGAATTGGCTTTATCTTTTCTGTGGAAAAGGGATATGATTGATGCATGTCAAGATGATTTAAGTGTTCTGGTCCCTTCGAATTCTTCTACTATTCAAGTAGCTTATGATCCTAATGCTCCTACTAAAAAACAAGTTGATGAAGCATGTGTACAAGCTGTTAATGTTTCTTTATTTTGGACCCTTTTTGATTTTTTGGTCTTTAAATTGATTTTTTATGTAAGTTTTTCCTTATTTTCTTTTGTGTATATTCTTATCGGTTTAACTTATAATATATAAATAACTTTTTTTTTTTTATAGTTTTATTTTGGAACGGTTGTTAGCACCTATAGTAAAGAATTATTGGAACCGCCTCTGGCAACTGATAAAAAAATAGGAGCAGGACCTTCCTTAGATGGAAACAAAATTTCTTAAATCAAATCAAAGTACAAAAGTTGTAATTCTGCTAAAACTCCTTCAGTTTAATATTTCCATTATGAAAAAAAAAAAAACACCTTTATTTATTTATTTATTTATGTTTTTATTTATTTCAAATGATATTGGAAAATGCAGCAGATATTCTAGCTGAAAACTTTTAATAAAATACAAAGAAAACAATAAAAATAAAATAAAATAAAAAATGGCCAAAACTGTATCTAAAATAATTTCTAAAATGTGAAGACAAAACAAATAAAAACAAAAATAAATTTTAAAGAAACGATGATTCATCACGAACAAACAAGTCAAAAATATTGTCAATCCTCAATAACATTACCATCCTTATCATATATATGAATATCAAGCTGGGGACAATATTCTTTTTTGACACGATCGAAAAATTTTGAATGCTTTTCCAATTCATCACAACACATTATATTAACTTGTACTAATCGTTCCCAGTTGATAACTCGAACGTCTTTTCCTGTGACAGCTGGAAAATATGATAAATGAATATATTTAAGATTCGGCGTGGTTCTTGCTACAACATCCAAGAAACGTCCATCATGTTCAAATTCCCTTCCTTCTAAAGCCAAAACTTTCAAATTTGGTGTATGCTCCACAAGATTACAAAATAATTTCTGATCCTCTTCCCTTAATGGCATCCATAATTCTTCTAATTGTTCTCCACAATTATCTGCCAAGTATTGAAGGGATCTTGCATAAGTTGTCTCCCAATTACAATCTACGTTATGTGGTGGTTCAATCTGAAGGTTCTTAATCTTCTTCCATGATTTTAATAATGTGTAAAAATCCCCAGGAGTATCTCCCCAACTACAACAGTGAACTAATGCACGATCTATTCTCTTACATTCACGGAGAGCCCCAATAGTTTCTTGATTCACAACATGCATCATCAAATCGATCTCTCGAACCGTTCCAGTGATCGTTGAAATAAGGTTACTAACGGATGGTAAATAAAGTGTATCATCATTATTGGGACCACGCAATCCGGATGTATGTATCTTAACTCGTTGAACGGATTGACATGATTTCGATATGTTAGAAAAGAAAGAATCCATCACGGGTGGAAGATCTACGGAAATATGATCCGAAGTAATAGAGTTGAAACCAACGACAAAAGCGTGTAAGCATGGTATCGTTTCAGCAAATCTTACAATACCATTAAATTTCTCTTCCAATGTAAATTGTGTTTCCTCCTGTTTTGGATCATAATCATATTCTACTTGAATCCTTCTGACATATTTACCATAACCTTCTTGAATAAGCCATTGAAAAAATTTCTCCCAATCTCGTTTTACGTGAAGCTGAAACTTTACTCTTTGCCATATTCGAGGTATTGCTATTTGACGCCAGACCGAACATACCATGGAGGCGTTATAAAGATCTGATCTATTTGATGATAAATGATTTTCAATCGCATTAGGTACTTCTGACTCATAAACTGGAGAATCGTCCAAGAGTCCTCCCGATAAATTTTCAAATATTTCAGTAATAAGTTCAGGAGGTAACTTATGTTTTTGTCGTAAGGTCTGTTGTTGTTTTGAAGACTTTTTACGAACTCTTGTTTGTGGCATTTGAAAATAAATATGTAGAAAGAAAATTAACTATAATTTACATATCAATGTAATAAATCAACGATAGCATATGACCGAGGGTCGTTCCGTCACGTGGTCAATTTGACGTTTAGATAAGATCCGGACTCATTTCAGGTTTGGAAACAGTAATGATGATAAAAACAAGGAAGTCCCCGGAGCACAAGTGTAACGAAAGGGACCAATCACTTATCTAACACATTTTCGTGAGTACCCGGGTACTATATACTGCAATTAATTTATTTGTTTAATTCAACACAACACAATACAGTAAAAATTCTTTCAACAAACAATTATGCTATCTAAAATTAATTATTTCATTGTATGCTAATTAATTCCATGAATTTTCAACAATTGCTAGAAAAATCAGATTTTGAAATTTTAGAAAATCATAATCAAAAAAATAAAATCATCTTCAATACTAACTTTTGCTGCAGAAATAACGCAACATTAAAAGGATATTTTGATTTTTTTCAAATATTAATGCTATCCAACCTACTTTAACCAATTGTGCTATTTTTATAAGTAGCCGTTTAATTCTTCTAGCTAGATAAATTCAATTAACATTCCATTTTTATATAATTCAAGGATCAAATAATAAAATAAAATAAATTTACTTTAGATTTAGATTTTCTTTTGATTTCAACATTCAATGGCTGAAGTCTAATAATTTTATTTCGTAAATAAAATATTTTTTTTTTTGTTGTAAAAATGCTATAAAATATTGAGTTTAAAATCGATCTTTTGACCGGCCTAACGGTCTAAAATCGATCTTAAAGATCGTCAAGATCGGATGGATTGGATCATTAACATCCCCTAAACATCCGTGTAACCTCTTTTCGAACGTGATAAATATAAATTTTTTCATATTTTCATACGTAAATTGTAAAGTATAGAATTATTTCAACAATGTCGGAAAGTCAAGACATCGATATGGATAACGTTGAGGACGTTGATGCTCAAAAGAAGGCATCAGAGGCCGATGCTTTGGTTGTTGCTGGTATATATTTTATATTGTTATTTTTTTATTTGTTATTTTTTTCTAAAAGTAAAAACGATTGACCGATATATTGTTTATTGGATCATGGATAGATATAAGACAAAACTTTTTGCTTCTTGAACGCGCAGTTCATACGTTTGAGTCACGTTTTACGACGAGGGTTTTGAGAACTACTGCATCAATTAGAAAACGTTTGAATATAGACATTTTGTTTCAATCTTTTCGGGATGTTTATCCAAAAGGTCAGTAATTGATTTATTCCCATTTTATCAATATAGATCATGAAATTATCAAATTAAATTCATAAAAAGGGTGATCGATTCTCACGAAAGGTCATCATTGATATGACGTACTCCGCTTATTACCAATCTCGTTTAATTAAAATGTTGCTTAGGATATCAAATCTGACACCATGACCTTTGAACTTTGAAAATAGATTCTGCTGACAAAGGAAGACTTCGGAATTACTTGGGAAAGGTACCATTCATGTCAATTACTCTTCCCTTTTCTTTTTTTTAAAAAAAAAAAATCCTTTAATTAAAAGCTTTTTCATCACGAAAGGACTCCGGACTTATGGATGTTGATTCCGAAGAAGATACATTAGATAACTCTCAACCATTACCCGAAATTGACCTTTATCTTCATCTATTGGTAATGATTTACTTGTTGGATAAACAAGATTATGAACAGGTTAGCAAACATATGAATTGTCAGCATTTTAGTTTGAATTTTGTAAATATCATACTATATATATACACCTTTTTTTTAGGGTATCCGATTGTCTTGCGAAACTATTAATAAAATCCAAATTTTAAATCGTCGTACATTGGATCAATTGTCCGCTCGCATATATTTTTATTATGCACGTTTTTACGAACTTACTGGAAATTTGGCTGAGATTCGACCGTATGTCTTACAATTTATCAATTTATATAGTTAATTATTTGGTGAACAACTCTGTTAAATTAAATTATACTCATTTAGCGTTTTATTGGCTGCACAACGAACAGCAACATTACGTCATGATGATGATTCTCAGGTATCAATATATCAGATATTAATATACGTGATTGTTGCAAAATCTAATCATATGTTAATAAATATCCATTTAGGCTACGTTGCTCAACCTGCTGTTGAGAAATTATTTTCATTATAATCTTTTTGACCAAGCTGATAAGCTTGTCAGTAAAGCAACGTTTCCCGAATCTGCAGGAAATAACCAACAGGCTCGTTACATGTATTATTTGGGTAAATCATATATGTTAATAATAACTCAATGAAGCTATAGTGCTTTAAAAAAAATAAAAACTAAACATCATAATTTTACTTTTAGGCCGCATTAAGGCAATTCAGCTCGATTATACGGCTTCACATACTCATTTGAACCAAGCTATTCGCAAAGCACCTCAGAATACGGTTACAGCTGGGTTTCAACAGGCTGTAATGTATCAACTTAAATTATCCTTACTTGAGTGAATTTTTATGATCGAGTATTTATTTTTGAAAAATATTTCGCAATATTTATAGGTCTATAAATTGTCTATTATTGTTCACCTTCTCATGGGTGAGATTCCCGAGAGATCCATATTTAGACAGCCGGTTCTAAAAAAACCATTAGTTCCTTATTTACACATTGTTCAAGGTAAGATATGAATGAAAAAGCAAAGTCTCATTCGTTCAAGGGATATTCACTTATTTCTTATATCCATCTTTAGCTGTACGTATTGGTGATTTATCGAATTTCCAAGAAGAGATAGCTAAATATGGGGATGTCTTTCGTAAAGATAAGAATTTTACTTTGATATTAAGGTAATATAAGTGTTGGTTAAAACTAGATTAGGATGTTATATTTAAATGTTGGTTTTTTTTTTAGACTCCGACATAATGTAATTAAAACAGGTATTAGGATGATAAGTTTATCCTATTCCCGTATATCTTTACGTGATATTTGTTTAAAGTTACATCTTGATAGTGAAAAGGATGCCGAATATATTGTCTCTAAGGTACGGTGTTCTAGATATTATTTATTATTTTATCACATTAAATTTAATCTGTTAATGCTTTTAGGCTATTCGAGACGGTGTTATTGACGCAATTATAGATCATGAGAAAGGATTCATGAAATCCAAGGTAAATCGTCAGATATGATTTTTTAGCTTTTAAGTTTTGATTCTTACCTTTTTTGTTTAACTACTTTTTAGGAAAATGTTGATCTTTATTCAACCAATGAACCCCAAAATGCGTTTAATGCTCGTATTACATTTTGTTTAAATCTTCATAATGAATCAGTAAAAGCCATGAGGTTTCCACTTAATGCCCATCGTAAAGAATTAGCTTCTGCTGAAGCACTTCGTGAAAGAGAGAGAGAACTTGCCAAAGAAATTGTTGATGGTGATATGGATGATGATGATGAAGGAGAATTCTAGAACAATCAATTTCTTATTTTTTTAAAATAAATCAATACAACTTATTGTATATAGAAAATGATGTAATCGCTTCTATTACTCAATATTATAAATTTATTATCATTATCTATTTTGCAGTAAATTAGTATTATGATTTTTTAGTCAATTTATATTATACTATTTTACAAATGATAAATATTGTATTTTAAAACTTTTGATAGATAAGTTATATATTAAACAAAGAATTGGATTCTAATTGCAATATATTATTATCTAAGTCAAGATGTTTGTTAATTTAGTATATTAATAAAATAATGTTTATAGTCACCTAAATGATAAAAATAAAACTTAAAAAATTATATTAGTTATTAAAAATCTTTAAAATATTAAAATTTATAAAAATGATCAAAACTTTATTAAATAATTTACAAATCTAACATTTCTAATAATTTTAACATTAATCTTTTTTTTAATAGTTTAATAATAATTAATATATATCAATCCCTTTAGTTTTCTTTAATTATATTTTATTTTCTTTATATTTTATTTTATTTGGTTTTATTTTATTTTAATATTTAATAAATTTATAATTAAACAAAATACTTAAAATCTTACTAACTTTTATAATTAATTAGACTTATAATTGATAAATAATAAAATTAATATTATTTTAAATTAATTGTTAAAGAATCATTATTTGATTATTATATCTAATTAGTATTTTGATTTATAACTTATAATCTAAATATCTAAACAAATAAGCAAATATTTAAAAATAAATATTTATAATTATAAATAAGATTTTACAAATTTATAGATATTTACTAAATTTATATTATTTTTATTAAGAATCATATAATTCTATAATTAATCAATTTTAATTTATTATCTTATATATAATAATATATAAATCTATATCAAAAAATTTCTTTATTTTTGACATTACATAAAAATTACTATTATATATTATTAAATTAACATTTTTTATGTTAAAATTTATTAAATATTAACAAAAATAATATTAAAAAAAAATAGTTTTAAAATAGAATAATCAAAAAAATTGATAAAATATAAATAATAACTTCTATTTTAATATTGTTGCAATTTTGAATATTAACATTTTCAATATTAATTTACAGAATTTTTAATGAAACATTTGTTATGTTTAAATCTTTTTTTATTTTAAATGAATATTGTTATTGTTGAAATAATTAAGAAGTAGTAATAAAATCTAAAAATATATAATTTTTTAGATTAGAAATAAAAAAATAAGTATAGCATATTATGATACCTTGATTTTTAGATGTATTTTCCATTAAAGTATTTTATTATTTTATAGGAAATTTTTAGAAGAAATTTCAATAGGATCATTTATATTTTTTTGTAAAATAAAAAATATAACTTTATTTTTTTTTTATTAAACAATTGAAGTTAAATATAAAGAAATGTAACAAGTATTCTATGTTTTATAATATTCATTTATTCTACATGAAATATATCAAATAACATTCATAAAAAAATTTCAGTTAAACACATTGAATGATTAACAAGATTTTATCTCTTTGTATCAATTTTACATTTAATAATAATATTTTTAAGTATATTATCATGAAAATGTTTTCCAAATGCAGAATTATAAAATTAATTTTCATGATAAATTTTTTATAAAATAATTATTTGATTGATCTGCAAAAATATAATTATGTCTATTAACATTGTATGGATTTTTTGCATCTCTTGCATTATTTTTTTCATAAGGTATATTTACTTCAATACTGCAATCTTCATTGATAATAATACAGGAATTTTTAATCTTTTTAAATCATTATCACATAGATTATAAAGAAGTATTAATCAAAACTAGACATAATATATAAAATTTTTTGGTGTCTTAGTTTACATATTTGATAAATTAAAAATAATTTTAATTTTTTACATTTCAAATGCATTAGTTTCTTACAAGATATATCTTAATTATCTTGAATTTGTTTAATTTGATCATCAAAAATTATATGAAACTATTTCTATTTATACTTATCATTAATATAAATAAGTCTAATTTGATAAAAAATTTCAGATAACTCTTTAGCAATTAAATTAAAACTTATATGTAATAAAAAAAATGCATATTATTATTTTTCAAATTTTCTAATATCATAAAGAATTAATAAAACTAATTTTGTGATGCAGTATCATTTAATAATTCAAAAGATTCAGTCAAATTAGTTGCATTTCTATAAGTATTAAAAAAATTCATCTAAGTTTTTATACTATTATATGATTAGCAATATAAGATTAAGCTTGAATATTTTATAAACTTTATTAGTAAAAATAACAAATCATTAATGTATTATTGATAATTAGTTCTTTTTAGTAGAATTATTTGATTCAACTAATAATGTTTTCTTGAAAATATCAATAAAATTATTAATTATTTTATTTGTTTATTTATATTTTTAAAAAAATATAAAGATAATATTATCTTTATCTTTTAAATCTTTAGATATTTGTTTAAAATGTAAGTAAAAAAAAAATTTTTTGATAAAAAGAAAAAAAAAGAATAATTATTATATATGTGATTAAAAGTATAAAAAAACTATAAATAATAATTGAACAAATGATAATAGTAATAATAATAATTATCACAAATCATATACTTTTAAGTATAATTTAATAATTTTATGAAGATCAGAATATCATAGTTTTTTTTCTTATCCTTTAGATTGTAAAGGTTCACAGACAAATTTGTCTATTTATTTACTATAAATTTCTTTCTGATTGATTTACTTTTATAAAAAATTAAAATTTTTTAAAAAATTTTTTAAAAAATTAATTTTATAAATATGTATTATATTAAAATAATTTTTATTTTTAATTATATAATAAATAATTTATAGTTACTTATAAGCTAAAAATTTGTAATTTTAAAAAATTATAAATTAAAAAATTTCATCATTAACCTTTGATAATCTTATTAATATTTACTTTTAGTAATATTAATCATAAAATATTATAAAATTTATCATGAAGAATAACTTTAATTATTATACTTTTTATAATTTATTAAGAAATTTTATGATTTTTATTAGTAGTAAAATATTCAATTAGTTTGTAAACATATAAATTTTAAAGAATTTTTTAAAAAATTATTATAATAAATTTTTTAAAACTTAAATTTAAAAATTAAATT